AAGTAAGGCGTATTAAACGGATAACGAATGAATCGGGTTTATTTTTTTAGTTTGGAGTTGGGTGCCACCATGATGACCTTACTTGATTATGCATCCTTCGCAGGTGGTACACGTATTCTGGATGTGGGTTATTTTTACGGTGGTGGTCGTTCAACGGTTGTTGCTTCTTACGGGGTTGTAGCGGCCTGGCGGTGAACTCACTGTTGTAATGGCTCATCCCTATGTCCCATTGTATTCCAACTGGACCTATAACTCTACAGATTCAATGGGATATTGCATTGAATGAATACTTAAACAAAAGTAGCAATAGCAATAGAAATAGCATTACTGTAACATTAGTAGTAGCAATAGCAATAATGCAGTAACAACACATGAACAAGACAATAATCCTAAATAACTCGAACGGTGGTCAAGTGGTATGGTACCCGCCAGTCTAGTTATCTGGAGGTCGTGGGTTGGATTCCAACCAAATCACACACAACAGAGCACAACAGGGGGGTCCCATGGGAGAAGCCCAGGGAAAGTAGCGCGCTCTGAAAGTTTTTATTTTAGGGCTGTTCTGAGATGATAAAGCGAAAAATGCAATAAACGCATTATAAATAATATTAAGCCTAGCAATAATTATAGTGGTGGATCAAGGAATTCAACAGAGAGGTGACCCAGTGAGAGACTTTTACAGATTGAGGAGCCACCCACCTCAGCCGCACCATGGTTGAGGCTGAGGTAAGAAAATTTATGATTAGGACACCTCTAGATGGCCAGAAATTACACTCTCAGGCTTAAATTTGGATAGGGGGGGTACATATTACCACCATCGTCATCACCATCATCATTGTCATCATCATAATTATTATTATTATTATTACGGTACTTTTTATAGTAGGCGTATGTATAACGTGTGCTGATGCATATTTACATAGATTAGAAGTATGTATTTTGAGTGATCCTTGGAAAGAATTGGTATCTAGCAAGAACAAGCTTTAAAATTTTAACACTGTGTAAGATGTGTATAAGAGACAGATAACACTGTGTACAAAGGGGGGGGGGGGTGGTGGAGCCGCGACTGGGACCCCGCGCCCTCCCCTAGACACCTACGCCACTACATCGCTTCTTGTACAGTCGGGATGCCTGTTCACATCGGGAGCTTTTCCACTAGGCCTATCTGTACATTTACATCTCTGCCTATATAATTCTCATTGATAAAATGTGTAGCCTACTCGACGGAGGGAAGGAGCATATCACCCCGAGGGCCCTGTAAATCTCCCCTTGCTGGCGTCACTCTGGCCAAGCGTAACATCAAAACTTCTCCCACTTTGACCACTCCCAAAGAACATAGGCCTAGAAATTGAAATTGCGATCTGTCACCTGCGTTCGAACAAGGTAATTTAACAAAAGGACGCACATCTCCGCTCTCGAACATAGCGCGTGCGTACAGTCCTTTGATCTTTACTGTGGCATCGACAATCCGATACTAGTTG